CTAACAGGTGAACATGGTGATGTAATTACCTGCTTCATGTCTTCCCAAGCTTCTATCACTTCCAGGGCAGGGATGCCTATCATAACAGTCAAGTCCCTTCCTGATCTGGCCTTGGTCTGTTCCCCTAGGCACACTTCTGTCTCCTTCCCTAGTGCGTGCTAGGCTTTGACCACGCATACTGGTCAATGTGCAAACATCCTGTGCTCGCTCCCCTCCCTGTCTTTGTATCTGCTGCTCCCATTACCTCAAATGGCCTCTTCTCCTGTCTTGACCCCTCTCTGCCTGGAAAACATTGCAGCTTGTCTTGGCTTCTTGCAGTTAGGTGTTCCCAGGATAGCTCTCCCCACTTTGCTTAGAGAGCATGTACTTCATTGTAATTGTTTGCATGCCTCGCTGCCTCTCCATCTCCTCTGAACAGTTACTTTTTAATCCTTCTATATACTGTGTCCAGCAGAGTCTGTGACCCAAAAGTACTAAATATTTGCTGAGTCAGTAAGAGAATGGACTGCTTTCTTTTTCTTAACTGGTCTCCTTGCTGTCACTCTCTTCCTTTCCAATGTAATCTTTCAGTACAACAATTGGTTTGCAGAACAGAGCTGAACATGGCACTTTCCTTCCCAAACACATCCTCATGCCTACAGAAAAGCATGCAAAGTGCATAGCACTCAACCCTTTACAGCTGACAGCAGCCACCTTCATCTTTGGCCATGCACACCTAACTACCTTCTTGCTCATGTCTATTTCCCACATTAACGGCTTCCATCTCCCCAGCCCTGTAAAGCAGCAGGTACACCCCAAGGTTGTTCTCAGCACTTGAGCTGGGCTTTCGATGTATATTTGCAAACTTTTTTCACTTTCTTTCTCTCTGCTCACTCTCAAACTCTTGGCTCACTGCTCTGACTTTGATTTTTATCTCTAGCTCTCTGGACTCGGGGTTGCTACTGAATTTCCTGGACGCTGGTACCTTGCTTCTCAGCTCTGCTGAAAGGAGCCTGGCAGTTCCCTCACCCCTCAACCTCTCCTCTGTCCTTGGTCCATAATCACGGATCCCTGTGTTTCAGCTGGACCCATGGGCACCCAGCATAAAGACAGCATTCTCCAGTCTCGATTGCAAGGAACTATGGCCAAATATTTGAGTTCCAGCAAGTGGAATGTGAGTGCATGTGAAAGCTGAGGCCTAAGCTACTTCTTTAAAAGGTCTCTGTTATAGCAGATGTCTCTATATCCTAATAGGAATTTAGCTTAAACTCATCCATCTAGATCCCTGTCTCCATATCACTGGGGTAGGACATCCTGCCCAGTTTAGGGCGCCTGGGACTCTATTTCCAGAAGCAGAGACTGGGATCACAGCGTTTGTCCTCTTCACACAATCCCATTCAACAAGGAGAGAGTATAGATACTTCTCTCCCTCTTTACCTCTTCCTGCTCCTCCATAAAGTAAAACTGTACTCATTGCTTCGCCAGCCCCTTTTCTGAGTATACTTTGCATTCCTCCCTGAGACATGGAATTGCTCTACCTTATTCATCATCAGGACCCTCAGCCCACATAATAGTCCCTGGCCCAAAGGGGCTTTGTGCCCTGCTTATAAAGTTGTTGTGAGGGCTAAATGATCATTGAATACTTGCAAAGTGTGGAATGTGCCTGGAACTTAGTATGTGCTCAAATAGTTGTTGTAGCTGTTGTTGTTAAGTGTCAGTGGAGCCAAAGTTTTCACTTTCTTTGAGTTCCCCATGCAGCCAGCACATGCTGCAGAATTTACATTTATAGTAGCGTTTGGCTATGCGCTACCCTCATGGGGACTGACGTTCATGCTTCCTTAAAGAGAAAGTCACTGCTTATGGTCTGGCCCACTGACCTACCTGAATGTAAGAAAAATTAGAAATCACCTACTTTGAAGGTCAGAAATAAAAGACTATAAAAGAACAGGGTCAGGCAGTTCAGGAGTATTGCAAACTTGTGTTACACCTTTTATCATTTCTGTTTGTAATTTGAAGTAACAGTACTTAAACTGTCTTGAGATTAGTGACATTTGTTGCTGTGCTATGGTACCTCACCAGTTAACTGGATATTTGGACTGTTTTCTAGCTGGTGGTGACGACATTGATTATGGTAATAACAATAGCTACTAATAACTACTGGGAGTTTAGTACAGGCCATGAATATAAGAACTTTGTGTGCTTCTTTCATTTAAGTCACGTTAACCTTGTGAGATGTAGATACTTGAAATACAGATAGGGAAATGAAAGCAGGAAAATGTTAAATGATTCCGCAACAGTGGTAGATACAGTCATTTTGGTTGGCAGGATTAGAATCCAGGTCAGCTGTGGCTCTTACCTACATTTGCTGCAAGTTCTAACTTGCAAAATAAATGCGTGATTTTTATCACTTATCATTTTGAGAATTCACTAAGTTTAGTTCTCAGATTGCTTTCTAGTTAAGTTTCTAATTAGAGTTCATTTCTCAATCAACATTATCTTATTCATTTACTGATTTTGTCCAAATTAGTAACATCAAATTGATATGAATTGACATTTATTTATCTGACTTTGTTTTCTGTTAATTTCTTAGTGATTTCTTAAATCTGAACTGTAGACCTATGAAAGTCAGACTTCCAGACTTTTCTTTAAGATTTACTTTTTTAATGGCCACATAATAATTGTACAGACTGCCAGACTTAAATGGCAAGTTTTAGAGAGATTCCTCCAACCTGAACAGGGTCAGGCAGGGAGAAACAAGTGTCCTAGTTGCTTCCCTTTGCAAACAGGCAGATTTTCTTTACTCAGGAAACCCAAGGCCCAGTTTCCCATCTTTCCAACATCCGAGAAGGTTCTCTCTGTCAGCTTCACCCTCAGAGCAACACTGGCTTCCTGTTAAAGTTTCACTGAATTGGTGGTTTCTGCTTACTCTTTGTTTTTTTTTCTGTCCCTTGGGGACTCACTGTACTTTCTAGCAAACTCATTATGGCATTTAAAAGTATGTTTCAGAGGCAACATGAAGCAACTGGAAGTCATGTATACTCCTTGTGGAAGTACACATTGGTGTAGGCACTTTTGAAAGCTCTTTGCAGTATGGACTAACGTAGAACATGTGCATGCCCTGTGCACAGCAGTCCAGCCCTACCATATACCAAATACCCAACACGTGTCCACCACAGGAGATGTACTAGAATGTTTATAGCAGAACACCAATGTTCATCAACAAGAGAATGGATGAGTAAATTGTGGTATACCACAATGGAATATAATGGAATCCCACATAGTAATCATTTTTTAATGAAGACAAATTCTGACTACTCCCAGCACATGGATGAATCTTAGAGACATTATATTGAATGAAAGAAGCCAAATATAAAAATGCACCTACATACAGTACGATTCCATTTATATAGAGTTCACAAATAGGCCAAACCAATCTCTAAAATTAGAAATCAGATAGTAGTTGCCTCTGCGGGGGAGAGAGGAGTTAATTGTTGAGATGGAGTACAAAAGGGGCTTCCAAAGTGCTCCTTCCACAAATATATTTGCTTTGTGATAATGCTTCAAGTTATACACTTCTATGTACTTTTCTATGTGGATATTATATTTCTTTTCTTTTTTTTTTTTTTTTTTTCCTGGAGACAGAGTCTTGCTCTGTCACCCAGGCTAGAATGCAGTGGCGTGATCTTGGCTCACTGCAACCTCCGCCTTCCGTGTTCAAGCAATTCTCCTGCCTCAGCCTCTGGAGTAGCTGGGATTACAGGCGCCCACCACCGTGTCCAGCTAATTTTTGTATTTTTAGTAGGATGGGGTTTCACCATGTTGGCCAGGCCAGGCTAGTCTCAAACTCCTGACCTCAAGTGATCCACCTGCCTCGGCCTCCCAAAGTGCTGGAATTACAGACATGAGCCACCACACCCAGCCGGATATTGTATTTATTTTTAAAATATTTTATATTAGAAGAGAAAAAAGTATATTTTAAAAGTGGGTGAAAGGGTATGCTACAGAAAGATAAGAAAAAGCTATTCAAGATGACTTGATTTAATATGTTGTTAGAACTGCAAGATGGCCCCATGCCTCCGAGTGGGTGTGTGTGCGTGTGTGTGTGTGTGTTTAGGGGAGTGATGGGCAGGTCATTGCTTGTTTTGGTTATTAGTTCCTTTTCATGCTTTCTGGTCTATTCCTTTTTCTCCTTAACCTTGTGAGAAATTAGCAAACAAATCATCAAGTGGTAAACATTGATATAGGAGAGTTCCTTGGTAAATATCCTGATGTAATACCTTGCCATGTGATTATTTATTAGAAAATGTATGTATATATATAGTCTCTTACTTTGCATTTGAAAAAACATGGAGGACTAAGACTTTTCAGTTCATAATTCTACTTTTTGAATGGAGATTTCCTTAACACAGAAGAAGAAAAAGCTGAAAAGGAAAGGGAGCATCACTTCAATATCTATAGGGAATGATTTTCTAAAATCTCAATCAACATGATGTGCATATTTTTCAAATAAAATATGGCAGGGTAACATCTCAAATACAAATATGCTTATGAGGACTCTTAGAATTTTTAAAATTAGAACCCTGCACTGATATTACCAGGAAAGCAGTTTATAGTCTAGAAGACAGCAAAGTACATCCCGTTATAGCAAAAGTCTTCTGCTTTATATTGCCAAATTACCATAAAAGGAGAATGTCTGCTGAAATTAATTTTGTTTTTAATTTCAATCTGCAGATTGAGTGATTACCAAGCTATTTTTTTTCTTGAAACCTAAGAAGCTGTTCTGTGGAACAGTGTTATGATCCTATCATTTGCATTTAAATAAGCACTCTTTGCTTTGCATTTCTAGACATTGTTTAGTTTAATCTAAGATTAATCTGTATATTGCGGTTGATGGAATTGAAATAAGATTTATAGCTGTGAATTCTTGATTTGATTGTTATAGGCAACTGGCTTTTCCTTTGGGTTTTGCACTCAAGTTAATTCATTTGGACTTGGAGGTAATCAAGCTCTTGTCTTTACAGAACTGCCTAGAAATCTTGTGTAGACACGGAGGGCTTGAGCCAGAAAGGAGAGACAAGTGCAATCGGACTGTGCATGATGTTGCCACTGATGACTGCAAGCATTTGCTGGAGAATCTGAGTGAGTGATGTTCAGAGCTTATTGTGTATCTTTCCCCTCTGCTGCTGGGGCCTCTGGTACAATGGGAAAAACTATTTACAGTTTTTGCATCTCCTTTTTAACCTTTTCGGAGCCCCAACTATGGCAAAAATACTGACTGTAAGTGTGATAATTATTGTTCCATGTAGAATGACTTTTTGCAGAACTAATTGCTACTCAAGTGATGCGGGCTTTTCTTTGTATTTTACTGACCTAGGAGAGCAATCTAAATATTTATTGCATTTTTCTTCTGATTTAGATTGTCTTTCTAGACATTAGACTGGCAGGATATGAGAAATCCCAGCTATGTACTCTGCATCAGTTGATTGTATGAGGCAGGCAAGTTGGTTGTCTCCCAGCACCTGGTTGCCTACTTTTCTGTGAAGATAATTGTTGATCTTTTGGGTCCCTTTCAGCTCCAAGAGTATATGCTCCTCAGCATATTTTATAAAGGCTCACTTGTGGGTTTGCGAGTGTGGAGTATAGACCTTACGAAACATTATGACCTCTTATATTAAGATTATCACTCTATCCATCCAGTCAGCCAGCTGTATCAGTAAGTCAGTTTTAGGATAAGCAGATTTTTAAAAACTTAAATAATGTTTTTATCTTCAACGTAATACATACCTTCATATACTTTTATTTTGTGAAGAAAATTTCAGAATGGCTAGGAAGCATATATGCAAACTGTGTAAGTAAACTTTAATATAAAAAGATAAAAGAGAATCATAGAAATTCTCTTTAAACCTGAGTGGTTTTTTTTTTTGTTTTTTTTTTTGTTTTTTTTTTTTTTTTTTTTTTTTTTTTTTTTTTTTTCCGTTGACAGAAGGCTTTATTTATCATTAAAGTCTAGCTTTCAGGACCTTAAACTTTTGAATCAGTGCTCAGTGTCTGAAACAGTATCTTATATAGTATTTCTCTAAAATAGTTCTCTTATTATAAGCTGACGCTAACCTAACAACAAACATGGAAAACTTTCTGTTGGGCTAAAATTTTATTATGGAATGTAAATGCTATCATTTAATTATATTCCACATTTTGATATTAAACATTTAAAAATTGAATAAGTAGATATAGCTGTGATATCTTAGATGTGAAAAATATGAAGCATATTGGCATGGCTGGGATAGAGGTGTGATTAGAGGTGGGAAATTGGAAGGATGAGACAGCGCAATTGATGTTTTGGGCAGTTTAATGCTCATTTCCGTAGTTTTGACCTTATATGACAAAGATAAGTCAATGAGTTTCTTGATAGTGCATAATATGATACAAACGGTGTTTTGGAATTTCGTAGGCAGCTCTTTGTGGGACAAATCAACCTATAGAGAGTCTGGAAACAGATAAAGCATCAAAGAGTTTTAATGATGAGTCCTCAGCTGGACCAGGGTGGAAGAGAGGGAAATGGTATATAATGAGGAGAGAGATGAGAAATCCTAAAACTGAGGATTAAGGAGGACTTCATGAAATAGAAGACTGGTATGGGAGACCTGAGTATAATTTCTATCTCGGACATGTTGGCAGGCTTTGCAGGTATACATCCTGTGGAAGACTGGACATTAGGTAGTCTGATTTAAGGGAAAGGGCATCTGAATCCCAGCTCCCAGAGGTCTGTGTAATGTCAGGCAAGGTGCTTAGCCTTCTCTCACCTCAGTCTGCTCGCCTGTTAGTAGGGTTAACAATTATTCGTATACCTGAGTGCAAAAGAGTGGATCATTTCTTAAAGTCTTTCTAAGATTCCAATTCTGACAATCAAAGAAGTAAAAAAGACAGGATGTGCATTTAGATTATGATTACTTCCATAAGGCTGATGATAAAAGCTGTGAAGGTAAATGAACTATAGAAAGTAAGTGGGGCCGGGTGCGATGGCTCACATCTGTAATCCCAGCCCTTTGGGAGGCTGAGGTAGGTGGATCACCTAAGGTTGGGAGTTCCAGACCAGCCTGACCAACATAAAGAAACCCCATCTTTGCTAAAAAATACAAAATTATCTGGGCGTGGTGGCGTATGCCTGTAATCCCAGCTACTCAGGAGGCTGAGGCAGGAGAATTGCTTGAACCTGGGACGCAGAGGTTACAGTGAGCCAAGATGATGCCACTGCACTCCAGCCTGGGTGACAGAGCAAGACTCCATCTCAAAAAAAAAAAAAAGAAAGAAAGTGAAGAACAGAATGTGTCAAAGAAGAACAAAGATGCACAATTATTTTCATTTGTTCAACTAACTACTCTTCGCCTAAGCACATAGCTAGAAGCACTCTTGCATGTGTATACCAGGAGACATACGAAAATGTGTGTTGCAGCATTGTGTGTAACACTAGAAAACCGAAAGCATTCTAAAGTGAAATATATTAGGGAATGGTTAAATAGAATAAACTCTAGAAAATTCATATCTTAAAAATAAATTTTATCTATATAAATCACCTTAAATACATTAAAAAAAATGTTGAGTGAAGTCAGTTATAAAGGACACATAATATAAAACCATCTGTGTAAAAAGTTTAAAAATACAACTCCAAGCCTATATTTGTTATAAGTACCACTAAATGAGGCAACGTGTAAAAATATGCATAAGGGAGGTAAGAGCTTCCCCATGGAAGATTTAAGTGAAAATTGAAGGGCTGAGCCAAGAAAGAGTGGAAAATAGAGACATTCCAGGTGAACTAGCAGCATATCTGGAGGCACTGAAGGGGACGTGCTTTGGAGTCTTTAGAGATATTTAGCTATATCTGCAGTGCTGGGGAGAGGAGGGAGATGAGTGTGGAAAGTCTAGAGTCAGCTCATAAAAGGCCTTGTATTCCTTTTGATTCAATCCTCCCTGTAAGTTTTGAGGCAATCCCATGGACCTGAATGAACAATTGAATGATTGCAAGTGAGGACATAAGAGGTAGGTAATGGGGAAATAATTATCTTGACACACAGGGTACCATAGATGGGGAGCATGACTGGTACCTAGTAAGAGGGAAGGAGGCCTGAACAAGCAAGGGAGGAACAGGGCTGGAGAAACAGTGTCATGGTTCAAGTTATAGGTGTGCTGTGAGACAGGAATGATGTATAGGGTGAGGGGAGAAGTGAACTGAAGGCCAAGCCCAGAGAAAACCCTATCTTCAGGTCGGAGAAGATTTTTTTAAATGACTCTAAAAGAAGATTGGGAAATAGGAAGGAAAAGAGCCAAAAAACAATGGTGTATGGTCAGGCATCGTGGCTCACACCTGTAATCCCAGCATTTAGGGAGGCTGAGGCAGGAGGATTGCTTGAGGCCAGGAGTTCAAGACCAGCCTGGGCAACATGGCAAAACCCCATCTCTACAAAAAATACAAAAAAAAAAAAAAAAATTAGCTAGGAATGGTGGCATGCGCCTCTAGTCCCATCTGTTCTCTACTCCATGGAGGCTGAGGCAGGAGGATTACCTGAGCCGGGGAGGTCAAGGCTGCAGTGAGAGAAGATGGCACCACTGCCCTCTAGCCTGGGTGACAGAGAAAGACCTCGTCTCAAAAAAAAAAAAAAAAAAAGAAAGAAAGAAAAGAAAACAATGGTGTAATTGGATTCAAGTTAGGAGACCTTTCTAACAGGAAGAAGTAATTTAATAGTATCACATTCCCTGGACTGTAAGGATTAAAAAGAGTCCATTGCATTTGGCAAATAGGAAGTTACTGCTAACAGAGACAAGTTTCATGCAGTTATATAGACAGAAGCTGATTATTTTAAGCAGAGAATAACATGGAAAGGCAGTGGAGAAATCTCCGGTAGAATAGTTTTCTTCATCCATTGAATAAACCCTTTTTTATTAATTCATTGAACACATGCTTTTATTGAGCTGCTCTTTGTGCCAGTCACTATCTTAGCCACTTGATGTAAGTCACAATTTTTAAGAAGATTGTTCTCATCCTGAAGCTTATAGTCTTAACATTAAGAGATAAAATGAACAATAAACATAAGAAAAATTTATTTTTTGGCTTTGTGAGGTGGTAAGATATGCTATGGAAAAGACTAAGGGGGGATGGAGATTGTAAGGGTGGGTTTTAGCTTTTAAAATGGTGGCCAAGTTTGCCTCACTGATGAGACATTGAAGCCAAGGCTTGAAGGAAGTGAACAGGGCAGCTATGTGGATATCTAAGGTAGGAGCTTTAGCACCAGTTGGACAGAGGCCTGAGGTAGCAGCATTCCTGTTGTGTCTGAGGAACTGCAAGGAGGGCAGGGTGACTGGGTTAAAAGGAAAGAGAAGCAGGAAGACAGGTCAGAGCCCTAGCCATTTCAGTGTTTTGAGTGCAGGAGAGCAGTTACAGGGTGAAGTGAGGCCTGATCTTGTTGGAACGTGTAGGCCCTTGTAAGAACTTAAGGTAGCCATTGCAGTGTTCGACTGTAGGAGAGATGGGATCTGATGCACATTTTAACAGTAGCGCTGGCTGCTTTGTTGAGAATCAACTATAGGAAGTCACAGACAAATCAGGAACACCTGTTAGTACATGAATGTAGTATTCCAGGTAAGAGACAATTGTGGTGGCTCAGTGTAGGACTGTAGCAGATGAAGTGATGAGAAGGACTTGGGTTCTGGATACAGTTGAAGGTAGAGTCAACAGAACTTCCTCATGGATTTAATGTGAAGTTTAAGAGAGGGAAGAGATTCATAAATAATTCAAGGTGTTCAGTCTGAGCAACTGGCGTGATGGAGTTGCCAGTACTTGTTAGGGGAAAGGCTGTGGGTGAAACAGATTTTGCTCATGAAGTTGGGGAGTTCAGATTTGGTTGCAGGAATTTGAGATTTTTTTAGGGTATCTGTGTGGAGATGTCGAATCAGCAGAAATTCCCAAGACGAGTGAGAGCTGATGAATAAATGTGAAGGTCAGCAGTCTATCAGTAATATTTAAAGTCATGCAACTGGATGAGATCACTAAGGGAATGAACATACACAAAGTAAATAGAGAAAGGAGCCCCAAAACACACTATCGTTAAGAAGTCTGGAAAAGGTGAAGGGAACAATAAAGGAACAACATTAAAGAGCGACCAAGGAGGTACTACCTCCTTCCAGGAGAACTACCATCTATGGGTATGGAGATCCAGGAGGATTATACCAAGGAGAAAAGAGAGATCACTTGTGTCAGGTACTGTGGATAAGTAAGATGACTGAGAGTCAGAAAATGGAAAATAAAGTAATCCAGCAGTTGGTTAGTTAATGGAAAAATCCAGTTTAAGAAGAGAATCATATAAACACATGTTGTTTTAAAACATTTTAATTGTAAAGCATACAAAATAATTTTTTTAAACAACGTTTAGACAGAAGTCTTTAGTGTGGGTTCTACTAATTAAAATTTCACATACTCTTGTTTGAAAAAAACATACCTTTAATTCATCATCTATGATTTCTAGTGTTTGACTGCTTAAACACATTTATGAAGCAAACTAAAGGTAATATCTGTCCAGAGATTATTAAACCCTTTCTCATTTCATATAGTTGTCCCATTTATACCTCATTAGATAACATTTTTTAGCAGTTCCTAAACTGTCTCTAAAGAATTCAACTTAGTTTTCACAGGAATGGTAACTCATATTTCATCAATTTATGGAATATTTAATTCACTAACTGTAGTCATCAGTTCAGTGACTATAGAACATTTGGAAACAAACACACGTAACTCAGTATACAATTCAGCCATGAGAACAGAAGTACATGGGGGTGCTACCCACTGCGCTGGAGCCTCAGTCAGAGAAATCGAAAAGTGCTTTTCAGAAGTTCATTCCTACTACCCTGTTAACCATTTATCAAATACTTACTGGTATTTACCATATAAGAATATATAAAATCTATTACAAAAGTAAGTTCATTTATTCTTCATACCAACTCAATGTACATTCCCTCCATTTTATGGAAGAAATTGGGGTACAGAGAGATCAAGGTAATTTACAAGAATACACAGCTATAGGAGGCTGACCCTGACCCTGGGGCTCAACCCAAGGTTCTCAGTTACTATCCTAAGCATCCCAACCTGTCCAACTATAGCCTGCCTCATCCATGACATTATCTAAGAAGGAAAGGAGAATGTAGAGAACTCAGGGTCAAGGGAGGGTTATAGTTATTTTAGATATTTTTTTAAAAACTACAGTCTTGCTGATGGGAAAGAGTTAATGAAATAGAAAAAGCCAAAGATGCAAGGAAAGAGACAGTTCATGCAGCATGCTTCCAAAGAAACTGAAGAGATTGGGAGACAAAAGTTTACTCTGGTGTAAGAACGTTCAATATAATGTTATTTAATGGAGTAAAATAGCTATCCTTTGGTTTGTATTTTTAAATGTTTGTATCTGCTTATTTTATATAATAGTTTTGCATTTTTTTCCTGTCCGGATTTTTTTAACTCCTAATTCTTTTACTCTTCTGCCAGATGCTCTTAAAATACCCTTAAGGATTTCGGTGGGTGAGATTGAACCAAGCAACTGTGGTTCTGATGACTTGGAATGCGAAAACACAATATGTGCTTTAAATATCCGCAAACAGACATCATGGGATGATTTTTCAAAAGCAGTGAGTCAAGCTCTGACAAATCATTTCCAAGCAATCTCTTCTGATGGATGGTGGAGTCTGGAAGACGTGACTTGCAATAACACCACCGATTCCAACATCGGCCTCAGTGCAGCAAGCATACGATCCATCACGCTAGGTATCAGCAGTCTTATGACAAAGAGAAAGTGAAATTTCTGGGTTTGTTTATGTTTATGGGTTTCATAACCTGATTCTTAGTTCATTGATTAAGCACATTCAAAGCTTATTGTGGCAGCTGCCAGTGATGAAAAACTTGAGTATTCACAATGTAGCCATTATGTAATGTTGCCTATTAATATAAAAATGCTTTTATACCTCAAATAATACTGAAAGAGTAAAAAACATGAAAGCCCTTGATGAGGCTTTGTGATTGCACTTGCTATTCTAGATAAATGCAAGAAACTAAACACCCCACAGCTGCTTGCTTTTGCACAAGTAATGAACACGGCTCAAAATTTGTTCTGGGGTTGACCCAGGAGCACTATAGTGCATTAGTACCTTACCTCCAGGACAGGTTTTCTGATGAAGTCTAGACTTGAAAGAAGCACTTTAATAAAGATATATTCATTGCTTCCACATGGGATGAATCAGGGTGATAATTGGTTATTTCAATTTGATAGACAGCACAAAACAGATTCCAAAGAACTTAGGAGATTTGCTTTCTGCTGAGCATAGTAAGTTCTCTGTAAATATTAGTTGTCCCTGATTAGTTCCTTTCTTCTTGGTCCAGGAGAACTACCATCTATGGGAAATCTGCTCCTTTGCAAGGACTGTGTTGGGTGCTTTATAAATGGTCCTTTCAATGGTGTCATTTTACTGATAACTCTGTACAAGATGACTTGCTTGAGGGCACAGAACCAGTGAGCAAAGCAGACAGGATTCAAATCATATTCTGTCTGATAGAAAAGCTTGTGTACTTTCAACAGCACCATACTGGAAAAGAATGGTCCAAGGTTGAGGGAAAGGTGGGCGTTTTACCATTGCTATTTATCTGTCAGATTATTATATCAGAAAGTGTTTTATTCTGTCTACCCATATATGTTTATTTACTTTCAAAACATGTTACTAGGTTTTAGAGAAGAGTATTCATGACAACTTGATTTTATGGATCTTTGGTATGATCATTAAAATTACTATTATTGACTAGGCATGGTGGCTTATACCTGTAATCCCAGTGCTTTGGGAGGATGAGGCAGAAGGATCACTTGAGCCCAAGGGTTCAAGACCAGCATGGGCCACATAGTGAGACCTCATATTTACAAAACAATTTTTTTAATTAGCTTGGTGCGGTCACATGCACCTATAGTCCCAGCTACTCAGAGACTAAGGTGGGAAGATTCCTTGAGCCCAGGAGTTTGAGGCAGCAGTGAGCTATCATGCAGCCACTGCACTCCAGCCTGAGCCACAAAGTGAGACCCTGTCTCTTTAAAAAAAAAAAAATTATAGAATTTTTATGATGTACTTAAAATTGCATTAAGAGATGATTCAGTTCTTAGGAACACATTTTGTCCACACATGAAGTATTACTCAAAATATGGTTCTGGCCCGGGGTCTGATAAACAAAGTCAGTCAACTGTGTATTGAAGGAAATGGCCCTCCATCAGCCTTTGTTCAGCTAATGTGGAAACTGACAAAGGCAGATGGATATTCACTGCCAGCAGATAAGTTTACTTCTGTGAGTAGTGCATGCTAAGGCTTGAGTATTGCAGTGTTTGTGCTTGTCTCAGGGGTATCGAGCACCCTAGTAGCATTTCACATCCAAAAATCATTGAGTTTTGTGGATAAAGGGCTTAATTTAGTGCCGTGCTGTAACCACTTCATAACTGGTAATTATTAGTGTTATTATTGTGTGTATGTAAGTGAGTTTGCTGGATTCATAACCTAAGCTACATGAAAGGAACTTCAGGTCAGCAGATAAGCAGAATTACAGGTGGATGTGCATGTATATTGGAGGCATGCTGAGAATAGATATTCAGGAATTGATCTGTGGAAGTTAGAGATGAAAACAAATACGTATTACCAATCACCCCCTACGGAAGATACCTATGGAGTGGCACCCTTTCAGAACAAGAGTGAGCAGAGGGCCCGCAATGGGAGAGGGCCTGCCTTATTCTGAGCACCTGAAATTATCTACTTTTTTTTTTTTTCTGGAATCTAAAAATTTGCTGGAAAGGGGATCAGGGACCAGATCATAAATGATCTGATATCTCACCCAAAGTGCTTAAGCTTTGAGAAACAAGCATTGGAAGAACTCTGAAACAGTTTTAGATTATGGTCAGCTTTGTTCTTAAGAGCTTAACCCTAGAAATATTTGAGTGGATATATTTGCTTTCTAGATCTCTCCCTGAATCCCTCCTATGGGCTGCTTTGGAGAAGTCTGTAGGTTGAAAGCTTTCCTTTCAACCTTCAACAAGAATTTTATTAGGGAGCTAACCCCTTGGGTGGCCCTGTATGTGTTTCGTACGTGCCTTTGACAATGTAAGCTCTGGATTCCTTAAGGTTCTCACAGAGGAGAGCATATGTTTTACGCTTGTGAGGAAAATCACTCATAAGCTGCCCTTGACATTTTATTTCATTTTTTGGAACTAGGAAATGTGCCATGGTCAGTGGGTCAGAGCTTCACGCAGTCCCCGTGGGACTTTATGAGGAAGAATAAGGCAGAGCACATCACTGTGCTTTTGTCAGGTAAGGATGTCCCTAACTAAGGTAACGTTTAAAGAGTATTTGCTTCATGGCTACCTCAGAGCACCGGTTCTTAAATCTTCACATTTCATCCCATGTCTTCTAGCCACGCACATGTGACTTCCACCACTAGGTAATTAGATGTTTTTTGAAATGTTTGATTAAGGGGAGGAAAATCCAAAAGCTATGTTCTTGACACCCACGGTGATGTCTGTCTGGATCATTGATTCCTGTCATTCTGATTGCATCACTCATTGGAAATAAACCAGAGGCCAAACTGGCATGCTGACAAGAGAGTGACAGAGACTGTGTTAAAAGAGAAATGTCTTTTTTTATTGTGCCTAATAATGCTTAATAGGATTATTAAACTGGTACAGGCTAATGTTTAGTGGGTACCTACTATGTACTAGACCCTGTTGTTTATAGCATAAGTATCAAATCATTTAATTCTCATAACCCAATGAGGTACGCATTTCTGCTTATCCCTATTTTATATCCAAGGAAATGGAGGCTCTGAGAGATTGATGTTCTTGCCTAAGGTCATGCTACTGCTATGTGGTATAGGAATACTCAATTTCTCAGCCCTTGATGCTAAACAGCTATGGATTTCATCATGTATTTCCCATACTTGGGAATGGAGTCTGAAAATTCAATCTTAATTAATAAATATTTATTTTATTACTTGAACTGGACTTACTGAAGTTTAAAGAAAAGTGTGTGGCCACCCCAGAAAATTGCTTTAGGCCCAAACAATGTATTGAGAGAATGGCAGAACTTGCGGGGAGGGGTGGCGGAGTATCGCCAATGGACCTAATGCAGGCCAAGGCCAAAGCTTTCTGAGATTGCAATGATCTCTGATAACTTTTACTTATGAACTGTAAAACATTGAGCCCAGCAATCAGCAGATACTGGGCACAGTGTTGGGACTGGGATCTGGAGGCCCTGGCTGTGGTTACTGGGAGGTAGGCGGGCATCCCAGGGGGCGGGGGAAGGAGCAGCTGGGAGCTCTTGGGAGGTCAGGAGCAGTGGCAGTTTATCAGCCAGAACAAAGTGTGACAATATTTTCACAACAGAAAGGCACATTGGTGCCTCCTGGCCAAATGTCAGCTCTGCCTACATAAGTCAAAAAACACACTTCTCTTTTATGATAGATTCTGTTGTATTTTGATCATTTATATTTAATAAAGGAGTGCCCATTTTTCTTCTTTGTCCTTTCCTACAGGTCCTCAAGAGGGCTGCCTCAGTAGTGTGACTTATGCCTCCATGATCCCTCTCCAGATGATGCAGAACTATCTCAGGCTGGTAGGTGCACACTGCTGAGTGGAGGCCTGTGTTTCCCATCCCTGCCACTGGAAAACTGGGTGGCCCATTTTTATGTTTAAAGGAGGAGTGCAAGCCCTCCAAACCCGCCCTGTGCTCTGACACCATTGCCTTCCCCACCAGTCCCCTCCCTGTCAGGCTGCCAATTACATAGTCTGGATGTCTGTCACTGTCATCCGGGTATCTATTGCCTGGATCCAGAGGCCACCTGTGACCTGTGAAGTGTTATAATTTGGGCAGGAGCAGGTTGTCTTCCTTTAACAAGGACTTGCTGTCAAGTAAATGATGATCAGTATGGAAGGGAATGACCACGAATATTAAGATGTCTTACTATAAACTTTTATGACTTAAAATTGAGTAAAGATGCTAGCATTAGTGAGAAGGTTAATTTGGCCACTTTAACAGAAACCAAATAATTACAGCTTAAACGGGATAGAAGTTTATTTTTCTCAAACATGTAAGTCCCAGCAGGTGAGAGGCCTGGGGAGGGAGAAGTGGCAGGGTGACCTCCCCAGGATCTCAGCACCCTTTCTCCCTGCTCCACTCTTCCCTGGGATGTTGTTTGTGTTGCTGGGTCAAAGGTAGTCACCACTCCCACTCCCATTTCCTAGCTGGAAAGAGACAGCCTGGAGGGCAAGCCTTTCCTTTCAGGGGAATTGCATGTGTCATTCCTGCCCACATCCCATTCAACAGAACTTAAGACACCTGTCGCTGCCTAGCTGGGAAGTGGAAACTTTTCCTGGGCAATCGTGCACCCACCTAAAACCAGATGGTCTGTTACTAAAAGGAAGAAGAAGAATATGATCATCAAAAGAAAGTAGCAAATTATAAATGTAAAATGGATAAATGTAATGCTTTGCCTTCATTACATACTTATTACATGCCATGCAATATGCCAAGTGCTGTTATGATTTATTTTATTTATCCTTCAAAACATCCCTATGAGATAACTTCATCCATTTTATACATGGAGAGACTGAACAGAGAGAGGTAAAATGCTCAAAGTCGTGCATCTAATAAGTGATGAAGCCAGAATTGTGCAAGTCTCTGATGTGTATGAGATCTATCTAAAACTAATACTACCGGTATAAAACATCAAAAAATAATTTTGCTTGCTGCCTTAATTTAGATGACCTTTTTAAATAAATGAGTTGAAACTATGACCCTTGACAAAAGTTGTTTCCATAGACTGTGAATTGATGCCTTTGTTTTCACTCCTTATGAAAAGAAGTATTCAAAACCATTCCATTGATCATCTAGCCAGGCTCAAAGTTAGAATTAACTGTGGCTGTACCAGCAGCCCCAGTAGCAGAGAAACGTTCAAAGCCTCACAATGTAGAAAAGGTGGATTCTCCTGAATCAGATACTTTGACTTCTTTGCTTTACTCTTTGTCCCCCTTCCTAAAAGCATCAAAGTATGCCTGTGATAGGAAAGAGATCTATATCATTACTTGGCTTACCTGAAGGTGGAAGGGTGTGATCAACTGGTTTTCAGGAATGTTAGCCTCAGGCTCTCAGTAGAATCAGCTGGTAGAACCACTCCCTCCTCTCTCCTCCCCCATTCTCAGCTTCTCCATACAAGGCAAGGTTCTGACCCAGGGCTTTTCCTTCCTCCATTAAGATGATAAAACATAACTGCAAATTAGCGTTGACTAGCAAATCTGGAAAATGAAATGTCTGCTAGTCACATTATATGTAAAATATTCCAAGTACACTTATAGGTGTGCCCCCTTATACATAAGACATAGTTTTACTACCAGTTAACAGCAAATCAGAGACCAAACCCTGTTGTTAATTCTATTCTGAATTCAGTGAGTGTACATAAAAGGCTTTTTTAATCCAACGATTAACTCTTGAATGAATACAATAAAAATGTATCGCTTATTTCAGCAGTCACTGCAAAATTTAAAGTGACTGAGACAACAATATATGATAGTGGTTGTGAATGTTTTCTCTTCCATAAACAATTATAAGCCCCTTAAGAGCATAGGCCCTGTGTTATGCATTTTTGTGTCCTGTTATTTCAATTGTTTCACAGCTGTTTATTGAGAGCCTCTTAAATGCAGGTAATGCTTTAGAAACTGAGGATAGAGCCCTGGCCTAATAGAGTTTGCCTTCTAGTGGTAAGGAAGGCAGATTTTAAAAAAAAAATCAAATGAATAAATGCATATGTAATGTGATGACCAGCACTAACACAAGTGTGAGGTAAAATAAAGCAGACAAGGAGATAAAGAGTGGGTGGAAGCGGAGGCAGAAAGCACTATTTTTAGATGGAGTTATCAGGAAAGATCTTACTATAGTGACGTTTGGACTGAAAAACAAATGAAGTGAAGGGAGTCACCTTGTGGAGGGTGTTTGAGGTACAGGGAACCACAGATACAAATGTATCTAGGTTGACAGTGAAGTCTGGGAAATGATCAGAAACTAGATCATGCAGGAATATGGCAAAAAATTTTAATTTTACTCCAAGTGGATAGGAAGCCACTGGGGAAATTTGAGCCAGAGAATGGCATAGCTTCCCAGTTCCACAAATAACTACAGGCACATTGATGTGTGTTGAATTGTTGGAAATCTGTACAGTAGATACACAAATGTAGTAATAGTTGACTTTGTTTACCTTCAACTTTTATCTTATGTTCCGGGGTACTTGTGCAGGTTTATTAAATAAACATGTGCGATGGTGATTTGCTACACAGATCATCCTATCACCTAGGTATTAAGCCCAGCATCAATTAGCGATTCTTCCTGATGCTCTCCCTCCCCGCAACCCCCACTGTGACAGGCACCAGTGTGTGTTGTTCCTCCCACTCCACCATGTGTTCATGTGTTCTCATCATTCAGCTCCCACTTATAAGTGAGAACATGGAGTGTTTGGTTTTCTGTTGGCTGCATTAGTTTGCAGAGGATTATGGCTTCCAGCTCCATTCATGTCCCTGTAAAGAACATAATCTCATTCCTTTCTATCGTTGCTTAGTATTCCTTGGTGTGTATGTACCACATTTTCTTTATCCGGCCTATCATTGATGGGCATTTAGATTGATTCCATGCCTTTGCTATTATCCATAGTCCTGCAGTGAACATACGTATACGTGTATCTTTATAATAGAATGGTTTATATTCCTTTGGGTGTATACCCAGTAATGGGATTGCTGGGTCAAATGATATTTCTGCCTCTAAAAATAAATGACGATTTGCGACACTCTCCCACAGTGATTGGACTAATTTACACTTCCACCTACAGTGTAAAAGTGTTCCTTTTTTTCCACAACCTTGCCAGCATCTGTTGCCTCTGAACTTTTTAATAATCACCACTGTGACTGGCGTGAGATGGTATCTCATTGTGGTTTTGATTTGCATTTCTCTAATGATCAGTGGTGTTGAGCTTTTTTTCATGTGTTTGTTGGCCACATGAATGTCCTTTTGAGAATTGTCTATTCGTGTCCTGTGCCCACTTTTTAATGGGTTTGTTTGTTTTCTTGTAAATTTGTTTAAGTTCCTTGTAGACTCTGGATATGAGACCTTTCTCAGATGGATAGATTGCAAAAATGTTATCCCGTCCTGTAGGTTGTCTGTTCACTCTGATGATAGTTGCTTTTGAATAGTTAACTTTTTATTGAGCATTTGTTATACACCAACCTCTGTTCTAAATATATGAATAATCTCATTTAATCTTTCTGTGAGATAGATACCCCATACAAGTTACATTTTACAGGTAAATAAACAAAGACTCAAAGTAATTTACCCAGCGTCTCCAGCAATTAAATGGTGAGACCCACGGAGTTGCAACTAGCCTTTCTGCCTACTCATGCATGTAATCATAGTTTATTAGCCTAGGTTATTAGCCTATTGATTAAGCATTGCAGTACCAGTCATTACTATTTATGCAAATATCTAAAATGCATGTGTTAAAACCCTTATGCAGAAAACCACATGTAGTGAAGACTTTAGATCAGGTTTCTGTTTCTGTTTTTTAAAATGATGTTATTTTTAAATACTTTTATTGTTAAAAATAATACAAGTACATTTTAAATCTCTACCCTTGATTTAATAGAGGAAATATTCAACCCAATTGAGTTTTGAATCACTAGTAATTTATTGTAATTGTTGAATTTTTTGCATTAACTTAAACGTTTCTCTTAACCAGTTGCAATTTTTTGTTAGGTTATTTGAAACCTCGTATTATAATAATTCGGTGACTATGAATAAGTATTACATTAGAAAAAATGCTGGAGTTCGATCATCTTGATCTGAGTGCTCCTTTAAAATTAAGACTGTGAATGTCCTGGATGGGATCCTTGACAGATTCTTCTACCTATTTTTCATTCACTCCAAAATGTGCCGTGCCAGTCATTGAGAATCATCACTAGGAGAGCCTAGTTATTCTCCATCCATTCCCAAAATAAATTCGCTACTTTCCCATAAAAATAAGGTTGTAAGTGATGGTTATGTGTCTAAGACATCCCACAACCCTGGTAGCAGAGGCCCGGTTTTACCTGATCTTTCTCAGGGAAGGGAGGAGCAAGCCTGGGTGAGGTCCTAGTGAAAGTGGGAAGCAGCTGGTTGCGTGATATGAGGAAGAGGTGGCTCTGCCACCAGTGGAACATTTGGCTTCCGTGGCAATAGTGGAAGAGGATCCTGGGCAGTAAGTGTCAGCCCAGAAAAGGTCTAAAGCAGAAAAACTTCATGAGTTCCAGAGCTGGCTGACAAGGGAGCAGTTATGTCTAAAAGTTCCATCTTATAGTTTTATGTTTTTGAAATAGCTGTAATACCCAAATTATTATGTCTGTATCAATAAATGGGGACCTGTCTATACTTGAAGTTAGTAACCAAGTCTGCTATGTATGTGAACTGTAATTTCTCTTAGATTCCTATTACTCTTATACCTATTCTTTAAAAGGGACTTCAGCAAATGATTAAAATGCTCTCTACCATGAAGAATTCCAGTTTTTTGTATTCCAAATGCTGGATGTACCAATATTGTT